TTTAGCAGCTGTTTCCAATCCTTTAACTATTTAATATCTAACTAGTGGATTGACAATATGGTTTGAATCCCATGATGGTAGGTTCGCCCCTGGTGGATAATAAAGAATTAAATTCTCCATCGTAATGTAGCCCATGGACCAGCAGGGACCCAGGACCGAATTAACATAGGTCCTGATGGAGCTGCAGCTCCAGGCCCATTTAAAAAAAAAAAACTTTTTTTTTCTTTTTTTTTTTTACACACACACACACACACACTACTCTTAGGTTTGCCACCTGACTGGTATTTTACTGGCACAGCTGGTATTTGAGGCTGCCTGGCCAGTGCCAGTATTGCAGTAATACCGGCAATACAAATGATAGCAATTTTCTCAGTATAAACGGAAATGACTCTGCAATACCAGCACGGGTCACTGTGTGTGGCGAGAGGCGGGAATTGGAAAAATTGATCCTGAGGAAAGTCCTTATAGGACTGAAACGTTGATCGCTGTTTTTTTTAACCCATTTACAATACATTTTGACTTTTTATTTACCATGAGGATAGATATAGATTTTTTTTATTAAAGCTGTGATATTTAATTTTACTTTAATTAGGTGTCGGTGTCCCTTTTGGGGAAGGTGGGGCGGGGGGATGGATGGTTATAATTATAATTGACATATGCCAAAAAGATGACTATGCGCATGTCATGCTTGTGATTATTTTTGTTCTGTATTTACAGATGAAAATGAAGGAAAGGGACCTCAGTTGAGAAAAACGATAAATTAGTCATTTATTACACGTGAGTTTACAGAGGAAGAGGTTTTATTTCAACTGTCAAAAGTAAAGACAAATAAGTAAATGGGACCTGATGGAATACACCCAAAGCTATTAAAAGAGCTTAGTGGTGTACTAGCAAAAACATTAACAGATTTATTTAACCAATCATTGTTAACAGGAGTAGTCCCAGAAGATTGGAAGTTAGCGAATGTTGTGCCCATTTACAAGAAAGGTAATAGGGAGGAGTCAGGCAACTATAGGCCAGTAAGCCTTACTTCAGTAGTGGGGAAAGTGATGGAAACCATGTTAAAGGATAGGATTGATGAACATCTAAAAACACATGGATTTCAAGATCAGAAACAACATGGGTTTACTTCAGGGAGATCATGCCAAACTAATCTTATTGATTTTTTTGATTGGGTAACTAAAATTATAGATCAGGGTGGTGCAGTAGACATTGCTTACCTAGATTTCAGTAAGGCTTTTGACACTGTTGCACATAGAAGGCTTATCAATAAACTGCAATCTTTAAGTTTGGATTCCAATATTGTTGAATGGGTAAGGCAGTGGCTGAGTGACAGGCAACAGAGGGTTGTAGTTAATGGAATATATTCGAAGCTTGGACTTGTCACCAGTGGGGTACCTCAGGGATCTGTACTTGGACCCATTCTCTTTAATATTTTTATTAGTGATATTGCAGAAGGTCTTGATGGTAAGGTATGTCTTTTTGCTGATGATACTAAGATATGTAACAGGGTTGATGTTCCAGGAGAGATAAGCCAAATGACAAATGATTTAGGTAAACTAGAAAAATGGTCAGAATTGTGGCAACTGACATTTAATGTGGATAAGTGCAAGATAATGCATCTTGGACGTAAAAACCCAAGGGCAGAGTACAGAATATTTGATAGAGTCCTAACCTCAACATATGAGGAAAGGGATTTAGGGGTGATTATTTCTGATGACTTAAAGGTAGGCAGACAATGTAATAGAGCAGCAGGAAATGCTAGCAGAATGCTTGGTTGTATAGGGAGAGGTATTAGCAGTAGAAAGAGGGAAGTGCTCATGCCATTGTACAGAACACTGGTGAGACCTCACTTGGAGTATTGTACACAGTACTGGAGACCGTATCTTCAGAAGGATATTGATACCTTAGAGAGGGTTCAGAGAAGGGCTACTAAACTGGTTCATGGATTGCGGGATAAAACTTACCAGGAAAGGTTAAAGGATCTTAACATGTATAGCTTGGAGGAAAGACGAGACAGGGGGGATATGATAGAAACATTTAAATATATAAAGGGAATCAACACAGTAAAGGAGGAGACTATATTTAAAAGAAGAAAAACTACCACAACAAGAGGACATAGTCTTAAATTAGAGGGACAAAGGTTTAAAAATAATATCAGGAAGTATTACTTTACTGAGAGGGTAGTGGATGCATGGAATAGCCTTCCAGCTGAAGTGGTAGAGGTTAACACAGTAAAGGAGTTTAAGCATGCGTGGGATAGGCATAAGGCTATCCTAACTATAAGATAAGACTAGGGACTAATGAAAGTATTTAGAAAATTGGGCAGACTAGATGGGCCGAATGGTTCTTATCTGCCGTCACATTCTATGTTTCTATGCCACACAGAGACAATTGTGTACAAGAGCATAGGTGTTAACATCCATTGTCCACCTTCCATGACAGAGGTTGGAATGGAAAACAATAGGCATGAAGGGGGCCGTCTGGCTCATCAAAGAAGACAGTCCACCTCAGCAGAGGGGCAGGTCTATCTTGTCAAAGCAACATGACTCATCATGAGGGTGTGGTCCCATCATCTAGGAAGTGCCCAGGATGGCTAAAAGCCTTCCCCCTCCAGGAGCCCATGCATGGAACATTGCTGAAATTCTCAGTTCATGGTCCTCCCATATTTGATGGGACTGTACCCCAAAATACAGGACAGTCCTGGCAAATTCAGGATTGCTTGCAACTATGCAAACAAGCTGTCCCTTTCTAGCACGCATTAATCATAAATAACAAAGAGAGGCTTAGAAGTAAGTATAAAATAAAGTGATGGTCCAGGCAGTGAAATGGACAGCAAAACAACAGCTTTATTGGAGCAAACACAGAGAAGAGCAACATTTTGACCCAACCGGGTCTTTGTCAAGCTCCGGATCTGGTGCACCTTGGTGCCTGGTGAGTACAGTCTCCTTCAATTTACTACTAAAGGTAAGTATAGACAGCCTTAGGTTACTATAATGTTCCAAATTCTCAAATAATGTGACTATCTGGAGGTTCTCACTTACATATATACTTTTCTTTTTGTAATTGCAAACAATGGACTGCTACACTATGTCCATATAAGACACGGGTCTAGTAAATTGGGACTTTTATCATTAACCTGTGCGTGTAGACACTTCTTATACTCAGGGCATATAACATGCACAAAATCAATATCCATTGTAATCAGTGAGAAATGCAACAACAAAAGTAACCGCTAATGTTGCAGATAGTTTCTAAACTCACTGATGAAAAATCATCTTACTGAATATCATGTTTTCTAAGCTTCACAATCCAAAAAAACAACATTTTTTAAAAATTTATTTACAGTATTTCATTGATTTGTTCAAAATGTCATTCTGTATGTTGATGCAATGTACATAGTACTAGGTAGTCAGACAACAGACCTGTGCCAACTGCTCATGTTGTTTTTTTTATATCAGTGTCAATGTCTTCTAGAAAATATGAACAGCATTTGTCTGTTGCTCTGCTCCTCGTGAAGTATTCGCTAAATGCCATCCAAATGCTGAGGCTTGAGAGAATCAGACAGAGCAAACATTGTGTTATTTTCAGAGAGTCTGAACGTTTCAATATCATCTGCTTACGGACTATAGACTGGATGAATGTTAAAAATTCAGAAAGGATTCCATTAACTAAGGCTGTGACCTAAGGATTACAAATGACCAAATGCACAGACACTCACATAATCAGAATGAAACAAAATAGACTATAAATAGGAATTAGACATATTGCATATCACTAGACGCCCCCTGCAGTCAGTAACTCGAAGACCTGTGCTCACATACATTTACTACCAAGTGAATTTTCCACAAAGCTCAAAGTCTCCGAAAACAACTACTACACTTATAAAACAAATCATCGTGATCCATTTCAAATCGAAATGATCATTTTGCTTGTTGACTTTTTCAGGAATTATTTAAAAAACAAAAACATTATGTATAAGACAGTATCTAAATGGCATTTGGATGTTTAATTTTGTTTGCAAAACTTTGTCTTTGACTTGTTTACATTTCAGTTGCACCATATATTGCATTGCTTCTTTATGGGACTCATAATGATAAATGATTCCCAGGAATCGTGCTTACATGATTTTAAATATTGAAAATTACATTTATTGTTTTTATGCAAACAAATTAAAATTTTGCAAATGATCCCTTTTGGGATTTCAGACTGCAGAGACGGCGCTACTATTAGAGCAGGAAGGCCTTTCAGCTGCCCCGGCTGGTCAGAGATCTAAAGATCATCCTCATTGTACAAGCACTGTTTGCTCCAATGAGGGAGAAGCAGGTCTGCACTTTCACTGAGTGCAGATCACTGCTGATGCTCTCTCGCAGTCACAGACCAGAAGGGTCTGCAACCACAGAACTCACCGTGCCAAAAGGGAACGGGTTTAGTGCTCCCCTTCCATACCTAAAAAAGAAAGGAGAATTTATTTATTTTTACATAAATAAGCGTAGGATAGTATAAAGGGAGCAAGTCGGTTGTGGTGTGCCAAGACCGACGATACGGTACGCCTGTAAATAAAGAGGGCCCACCAAGGAGTAAGAAAGTAAAGTAAATGGAAAGAAAAGAGAAAGTGAGGAGTGGGTGGAAGGGTCATTCTGATGCTGACCTCAAGCAATATGAGTCAGGTAAAGGGTGTCCCTTATATAGGGGAGTGAATTAATTTAAGCCCCTCCCACAAATACAGGCCAAACGGCCTTAATACACACTATATATATAGTTGTGGGAGCGGCTATGTCCCTTTAAAAGGGACTCCCCCTCCTACCTAACTTACCTACTGGTCCAGACGTACTTCTGGACTTCCGGTTTCCCTGAATGGTGGCAGTTACAGTTCTCAGCTCCTACTGACAGCTCGCCAACTGCCTCGCTCCGCTGACACTCTCTGCTGCCCAGCCCGCTCGTTTTCTCGCCTAACAGTGAGCGGGCAGACCGGTATCATTTACCGGTCTGCAGCATAGATTTAGCCTGGCCCGCTGAGGTCCACTGCTACAAGGCACACACGGGGGTACTGCAGGCTCCCCATGGATCTACACGGAGGTCTGCAAAGCCCGGCACGCACTACATCGGCAGGTTTACCTGGTCACCAGGCGACATACCACACAGTGAATACCCCCCTCCAGTAACATACCACGGAGGGCTCAAACGAATCCAACCCCCCTACCTCCCAGCAACAGCATGGAGGGCTCAAATTAATCCAAGCCCCCCTCCCACCCAGCAACAGCATGGAGGGCTCAACGGATCAACCCCCACAACCACAGGGGCACAACAGAGTTACACCAAGGAAAGGGGAAATACAACTCACACACTATTAGTATTCACCGGCAACGTTACGCTGGATCGCAACTCTCATCACCCCAGCGTTGGGGTGCCCAATTTGGCACTAAAGCACATCCCTGTCATACTCCCGCAAAAATCACTTAACACATCCCCCCCCACGAAGGGCCTTACTTACCCGTCAGAAGGGAAATCACTCACCCGGCTGGAACTCCCTCTACAGGTTCAAGTCTGCTACTGCCGTAAAGCATGTCCAGTTTTCAGCACTACAAATGGCAAAGCAGGCTGTAACCTCTAGGGGCAGCACAGTCACTCACAGGCATTTAAAGGGGAAGTCACATTACACATTTCTAGTCAAGTGCATGTATAATATAATAGATATTACTGTACTAAATAACGGAGTATATAATCGATAAATAGAATCGCCTTCAACTGCACCTCCCATGTCATGAAATTATAAATTGCACCTGACAAGTCATGTATTCATAACTACACCTCCCCCCCACACGGGGAGGAGTTTCACAGGGTACACTCCCTCCATAGTATACGCCGGTCTATTCTGCCGGCTATGAGCGGTCACGGCTCAAGCTCCACCTGCCTCATTAAGCACGGCAGAGGGGCATGAGCAAGGTGGCAGTCCCAAGCTCACCACTCTCAGCCATCCAGGCCTCATTGAGTGAGTGATACTCAGTTTCTACACACAAAGTGCATACTCATATTTGTTTATCATTTAAGCATTATGGAAATATAAGGGTTATGTCTTATTATAATATTTCATAGTCGTGGTTGCTACTTTGATATATATACACAAATGGGCAACCTAAGGGCAGCACAATGCCACCTGTTGGCCTTGTTACCCATGACAATCAATGTATACATATGCAGTAATTCCATGTCTTTACAGATGACTGAACAACTGTTAGCACTACGGGTAATACGGAATTAATTTCCAAGGCATGTTTCAGGGGTATTGCCAGGCCAATATTTTTGTAATTTTGTTATACAGGTCTACCTTCATGTTCATAGACCTAGTTACAACGCAAGAAGTGTCTGGCTTAAACTGGTACATGCAGTTGGTATCAGGGATAAGGTTCAAATCATATCCTTACATTGGTATGGGCACGATTCGTCACAATCATGCGTTCATTACTCAGACATCGTACGGCACTCAGGGCACAAGCACATAAATGTACGCTGGGTACAAACGGTACCGAGCAGACATTTACCGTACTACCGTAACTTATTCTGACATATGTTACAGACTCAACAAACCAAACTTAGACAGAACTGGCTCATCAGATCCCACAGTATATGTGACGTACCAGAACAATTCTTACGTCATCCAAAGGTATTGGTAGGTGACCATACCGTACGCACACAATACGGTCGTGGAGGATTTTCTGCAGCGGCAGGTCAGTACAAACTCATATGTACCCAAGGCCTGCCAGTCTGTCATCCATAATCTGTTTAAGGCCGCCCCCCTTTAGCAGAATCTCAGACTACTGCAAACACTGAGCATACTTTGTTCATACAGGTACGTTTCTCCCGGTTCCTTAAAACACTAATTTAGTATAAAGATTCATTCCATAAAGACAAGTTGGCATGGCCATCTAGGTATTTCTCCCAGGCACCTTATGCCTTAGAGATAGAGGTCCTGCGAGGCCAACACCCATCCTCCACGAAAGAGGTAATCACGCCCCACGGGCCAAATCATAGCTAGACGCCACGCTTGTTGCATAGCAAGGGAATCACTCGTCACACTCCCTCCGCAAACCAAAGAAACACTCTTTGTAAGTTCATATCCAACAGATCACACCCCTCGCGCCAACCATAGGTAGAGGCGACCTAGCCACTTGGCAACTAGTAGGGATTCACCTGTCACCAGTCTAACATATTGTTTCGCCACTTCGGCACTAGTTAAAACAACTGTATACACCTTCAAGAGAACTCATGATTCCCATATACATATATTTCCCAAGGTCAGGAAGAAGGAATTTACATTTCTATTCCAAGCTCATTGCCTCCCAGGATGTCACAGAGTACCACTCATACACCTAGGGTGTTATCTCAGTGGTTCTTAAGGCCAGAAACACAAGACGGAGTACAATTATTCATCAGTATAGTTATTCATCAGTATAGTTATAACCTTCATGGTCTTGTGTCAGTACAGACACTACTGCATGCCACAGGACTCAGCCTATACTACTGGCAATTGTGTCCAGTATGTCTACCCTCAGGTCATTGGACTCAGCACATATATAGTATATTTAGGTATGGCATTTCAACACCTCTATCATGTTCCCCATGTAGACCCTACAATGATCATATGTTATGCTGAAAGTTATGGTACGATATCAGTATGACCATATTTCAATTATAGCTACGCCGTCATAACCAGTAACTTTCAACTGATCTACAACTTAAATAAACCACCAACCCCTCCCCATTAAATTCCACTCAGACTTACGTTACCTCCCAATACCACCGCAACTGAAGTGGGCCTCTCTCAACCTCTTATACATAGTCCTCACACAAAGCCATCTAAGGGCCTTTGCAACATACTTCAGGTAACCTTAGTGGACAATAACATCTTATTTGCAACCCCTCATTTTGGCACTAAGTTCACATATCATCTGGATAGGAATGTATGCGTAAAGTTCAGCTATCTCACAACTTTCTATCTGTAATCAACCAAATCTTATAGTATTATACATCTGCTATATCTTGCACCGTCCACATACTGCCACACAGTAACTCTCCTCACGACCCTACCTACACGGCCTACTCCTGGCCAAACGCACAGTATGTTATAATTCCCTCATAAGAGATGTTCTCCTTACCTCTCTTATTTTAAGTCAGTCTAGCATATTGTCAATTTACGACGCGTGCAATATGCCACATACATTATGACTTGTACTGAATTAACATGTGGGGCATTTAGGTTTCCCTGGGTCGACCTTACTAGTCAGCCGCCATCGTGCTTACATAGCCATTCCATACTGGACTATTCCCACGTCACCGCCGCATATTAGAAGAGTTAATATACATGATATGTATACTGTCCTTCCTGCTTCCCTGGCTATTTGACTGCTCGGGCAACCATGGTACGAGTTACCACATTAGCCCAACGTTCAATGCCTATTGTACGGCCTTACCCAGCATCCAGGCTTTTAAGCAATGCCAGCTTACAGGGTCAACCATCACCTTATCAAACCTGCCAACTTTTATTCACAACCAGATTCTTTACACGTTACATACGTCCCCCCAAAGGGCTATCCACTATAGCATGATATCGGCTCCTCATGTGGGCTATTACATACGGCATAGGAATTACAATTTGACATAAGTTATCACGTTGCCACAAGCTACCACAGCATGCCTCTACACATGGCTCTCACTAGGCCATCACTCTCACGTTACATACGACCCACTGCGGGCAATCCACTACGACTCAATTCAGCCCCAAAGTTGGGGAGTCATATACGACCAAGGTCACGTTAGACCGCTCATATCCTCACTATACGACTGTTGTCGTCATGTACAACTCCAGTCACAGACACTTACGCAATCTCCAATATTAGTTCCTGCTGGTAAATTAGAATGTCCCACATACTTCATACACATTTCAGGTTCTTCTAGCAGAAAGACGCCCAGCGGGAACTCACCTAGGCTCAATATAGTTAGGTGTCTCTTCCCCATACATATATATGTCTTTAACTAGGTTCATACACATATGTTGTCGCCCCGATGCAATGGCTTACACAGAGTTTGCTGCAACCTCAGGGGACAGTTGGCTATGAAGTAGGTGGCCAGACGAAGTTAGCCAGATCGAAGGGTTCCATAAAAACTCTGCACACTTCAAAGTATATTCCATCATAGCCGCAGCAGTAACATGGTGTCATTCATTGCCAAGCAGAACAGTTAGAGGTCTCTGACAATTTGTCAATTGGTCACATCATAAACCAGTCCGGTCTTGTTATCCCTTATTATGAATTCATCAGACGACTAACGGAGGAGAAACCTGTCACCAATGTTTTATCTGGTATGTTACCACATACCAGGCATTTACAATACAGCTGCTGACCGGTTATCTGGTCTTCAGTTTCAGGCATTCAGGAGGTCCCTAACAAACTGCCTCATCTATAGCCACAATCGCTCCCCAGCTCCATGAATTACATATGGAATCGTAGAGTGGCTAAGTCACAGCAGGAATTCGCACAGTTGGGCCCTCAAAGAATACACACACTGCTATGATAGAGCTTACTGCATATATCAAAGATCATGTCAGACCACCACCTTACAAACTGGTTCAAGAATACAATGTTGGGGGGCTTTTTGCCACTTTTTGCCACAACAAAACAAATGTCACACAACACCATTAAGTTATATCTCTCGGGCATTCAACACCACATGTTTTCAGTTACAAACACCATGCTGAAATCGCCATATACTTGGCTTTCATGGTTTCCCACGACCAGAAATTTACCATCATAGGACAACACAATTCCAAGCTTTGCCTACAGTATTCTAACCTGTACAAATACAGGATCACTACATATTAACTTACCATCAACTAAGACCAGCCAGAGGGGTCATGAGGTACCCATTCAGTACTAAACCACCAACGCATACCTCAACCGACACAGGAGTTAAGGAATGCATTTGTGTAATGTCACTGTAATACGCTAACTCCATGTCTTGTGTTTTCATAATAAACCTCTTTGATTACACTATATGGGTATTCCTTTTTGCCCACTTATTTACAGGCCTACCACACACGTCGGTTTCGGCACACCTCTACTGACTTTTTGTTATTGGGATAAGTATAATCACTAGCTATTTCATACTATACTGAAATGGCCCCGACCACAAATTGGAAGGCAGGGCCTGAAGTTGTGGGAGGGGCTATGTCCCTTTAAAAGGGACTCCCCCTCCTACCTAACTTACCTACTGGTCCAGACGTACTTCTGGCCCACCCTCCTCTCCCTCTATTCAATACTCTATTTAATACTATTTAAGGTAGGCCCACTTATTTACAGGCCTACCACACACGTCGGTTTCGGCACACCTCTACTGACTTTTTGTTATTGGGATAAGTATAATCACTAGCTATTTCATACTATACTGAAATGGCCCCGACCACAAATAAATAAATAAATATATATATATATATATATATATATATATATATATAAATAGTGTGTTTGGAAGGCTTCTCAAGTTTATCAC